TCTTATAACAATATCTCCCAAGGATATGAACAAGAAGGTACAGTATGTATAAACATGTTTCTCATTGTTTAACTAAAAATCATGTGCACTTATTTTTATGAAAAGAGGTAAAAGTATGTGTAGAACCGTTACTTTTTGCATAAAAGATGTATAAGAGGGTTCCAAAACAATAATAATATATTCCAGCATGCTTTAACATAGGAATAGACACCTTATGTGCACAGATTGCCCAATAATATAATAAGTCAATACTTGTATATGTTAAAAATGTTTTCGGTGGGCAAATTTGGTGGTCATCTTGGAATTTTGAAAGTTCAATCGGATAGATTGATAAGTAACTCATATTGAATGTTCATATCAAATTTCTTGCTAGTACTGTATGATCATTTACATGATTGTACCTGTTACCTGTAGCTCCTGCATCCAAGTGCATCACTTTTATCCTTGAAAATATCCATGATCCAGGGGCAGACCTAGGAATATAAAAAAGAGGGAGAGTCCAAGAAGTTATGGGTGAGGGAACATGCCGAGCACAGTGAGCCCACCAAGCTGGGGGGTTTTGGGGGTGTGCTATAAGCCCTCTAAAATTTTTTTGAATTCTGACCAAGATCATGGGCATTTGGAGACCGTTTTGAAGCCATGTGCACTTGGTATTAGGAGATATTCTGAGTCAATTGTAATTACAGTAAGTCCTCGCTTAACGTCGTGCTTCCGTTCCTGAAAACCATGACGTTAACGGAAACAACGTTAACAGAATCGATTTTCCTCATAAGAAATAGATAAAATACAGGAGTTATGTTCCCGAGCCTCCCTTTGCCCCATGAAATACATTACATATACAGAAATTCAATGGCATTTTTATAGAAAATAGTAAATATATAAATATACTAAATAATTTTGTATTGTACTCACTGATGGGTGGAGGTGGTGGAGCGAGTGTGTGGTGGGTAGTGGAGCGGAGGAGGAGGAGGAGGGGGGTGGCTCCTTCTCCGGGTTTAAAACCTCCATTATTTGTAGCAAGGCGAATGGTCTGTGGTAGCCCAATAAAGACCGGTGACGCTTGGGGATGCTGTGACGCTCTGCGGGTGAATGTGTAGTGCGCCAAGATGAGAGAGGGTGATGCGCCGTACAAAGTAGTCCGTGACGACGCTATACCGAATCGGCGGGACGTTATCCAAATCGTGGGTATCTAAAGAATAGCGACGTTATAACAAAACAACATTATCGGGGGCAACGCTAAACGAGGACTTGCTGTACTTTTTATTATACAAAAACACATTAAAGAAAAAGTATAGTAATTTTTGCTGAAAATGGGGGGGGGGGGGCGTCCAGTCCCCCCAGGATCTGCCCCTGTGATCACTCCGGTCACCATTGACACGATGTTGTGTCACATCAAAATAGGGCAGGGGTAAAGAAGATGTTCATACATATATGTGCACCTAGAACTTGTCTTGTGAGTTTGATGTTCCAGCATCTTGGCAGCTTCTTTTTACCCATCTTTCCTTCAGGCCACAGGTAGAGATAACAACATTCATTATTGTGTACATGGTAATACAGAAGAATTAAAAGATCCATGTCATCACCAATAAGCACACTATTGGAAGTTATGCTGTTTTAGTGGTTGCTTTGACTATGAATACATCAGTCTCACCTCTGGCATGCTTTTTTTTGAGGGGGCACCCATTTTGTTCAATCTCGTTGCTTAGCAGATTGGCGAAATTTTGTTTGAAAGGATTAAGGAAGGTCTCTTCATGTTCATGACCATTTGGCCAGTGAAGTGCACTTCTGTAGTTTTTCCTCTGTTCTTCTCAAATGTGTGCTGTCCTTCATGGAAAGCCCATCCTCATCAAACACATCAGTAGCCTTTTCATGCTGCTGGGTCACTTAGTCTACATACTTCTGGCAGATGTTGTCATGGGTGACTGTCCTTGGTGTTTAAATTTTTGTACCATTGGATTAGATCTGACCATCCAGGCCTCTTAGGGTCTACTGATAAAAAATCTTTCCATAGGACATCAATGACTGGAGTTGGGTCTTCGGCATTTGGTAAAGGCAGTCTGTGTTCTAATGCTCTTAAACATATATGTGAAGTACTGAATGTTCACTTGTCGAATGAAGCATATATATTCTGTAGCTACTGTGTCACAATGGACACAATAATGTAATTTCTCTTGATGCCAGGTTTTATTGTAGGAATCATGCCCATGCTATGGAAGGTATTCTTGCCATCAATGGTTATTGTGTTGTGATCAACATTGTCAGCTAGGAACAACAGAATCCACGTCCATTCAATGTGTTTATGAGGAATCTTTATGCAAAATGATGAATTTGCACACCAAGTCCTAGCTGTAGATAAGATAACTCTTGGGCATGTTTCTTGAATAATTGCCTGTCTGAGTGAAGCCATTTTTACATCGGATTTTGTATTAGGAAATAGGATGTGCAAAATAGTTCTGAGACTCTGGGAAAACCCAGTTGCCTTTTTAGCACATATCTTCAGATGTTCGATAAGAATTTTTGGACTGTGTGATGGATTTTATGTCATTTTTGATAAATTTGGCTGTAGGAACTGTATTGGTGAATGTCACAACATTAGACTTTCCATTAATTTCTGTTAGTCATTATGTTTTCACCATAATGGTCCTTGATCTTCTTTTTCATATACATAATACCATAGGGTACTGTCTGAGTCACGTAAATAAATCTGCTTGTTGTCGATGAGATCATCGAAGATGGTGTACTCATCATTTTCATTTAGGTCTGCCATGACTTGTAGGAAGGCCTATTCCATCCAAAGACAGAAGCACATGTGGAATATATTTTTCTGTCCAAAAGTTACTGCAGCATATCTGAGGATACACTACATCTACAGCTGGTAGCTCATGCACACTTTCGATCTTAACCATCACTTTCTCTGATCATCTATCATTCCTACTATGACATTGCTGTGTAATAGTATTAAAAAATCAAACGATCTCACAGGTATCAACTTGTATCCTCTCTGATGCCTATCATCAAAGGTGCCAATGTGTCCATAATACAAACAGTTTACCTTGGAGTTGAATGGAAATTGTGCTGATCTGAGCCTCCTCACTTCCAGATACTGCATCATGTGGTCTTTTTAAGAAGCTCTTTGCGATTCTTCTTTTGTTACAGTGCTCATAACAGCTCTCTGTGAACACGTTATCCAGGAACTAAAGTTATACTGCTCCCTTGTGCTTCACTAGCCTGTGCTATTCCTTGACATCTTTTGAGTCCCACTGCAACAAGTACTTACCCATTGTCTAGGGAAATTTCACAAAATGCACATTTATCCATCATTAGTCGTGTTCAGTCTGAAAAGAAACACTGTCGACATTGCAACTATTGCCTTAACTTAAGTTAGAGAACTTGTAATTGCCTTATAAAGGATACTTTCACTTTACAGTACTTGGACATCGGCACCTGAAATATTAAGGAAACAATATCTATAGCAACTATGGCTTTCTCATATCTGTAACAGATTACCAAAACATGAGTACTTAATGCATTTCTTCAAAAAAGACAGTGTAGTACTGTACTGTATTACCAATTTTTTAAATCATTGAAAAGCTTATTTAAAAGCATTTTGTAACATAATATGTTTCATAGGGGTATTTTGGCAGCCATATTAGGTTCATACAGCTTACAAAATTTTCTTATCAATTTATTACTTTTTCTTGTGTTTTTCCCTTCATCAAAACCCAATTGTGGACTTTTAACCCTTAGGCCCCGGGTGACGTTCCAGAACGTCTGGCTATTTTCCTGCCATTTATTATTATTATTATTATTATTATTTTTAATTATTCTTGGAAAAGTTGATTTTTTTTCTCGATTTAACTCCGCAGGGACGGGGTGTACTGCCAGTAGCACCCTAACCCAGGGCTTAAGGGTTAAATTACTCCAAAACATCACCTAAGTGCTGTAACATGGGAAAAATAGGCTCCTGAAGAGTATTGTGACAGCCATATTAGATTTATGCAAATTAATATGTTGTCCAAACAATTTGTGGCCCTTTTTAATAGAGTTGCTAAACTCAAACACTATATTCTAGGCTTTTAAACTACACAAAAAGCTTATTTAGCAGCTGTTATTTGGCAAAATTAGCTCTGTCTAGGTACTTTGCCAGTAATATTGGATTTATGCAAATTAGACATATTTCCCCCAAGGTGGATTTGGGTTAATTTTTAATATGCTGTTCTATAATCCTCTCTAAAATGTATGGTGAAGATTTTTTTTTTGCAATTTGTGGTGGGTAAGGCCTAATGTTTTTATAGATTTACTAGACTATTCCTAAAGCCAACCCACAAGGTGGGAACGGCTAGCTGGGCACTGTCGCTACTTCCCGAGGTAATCTTGGACTACCCGCATACCCAGTTAGTATAGTTATTATTTATTTGTTATTACCTAGAAGTTGCAAGATATTATGAAGGCGAGTTATGGAGTCTTAAGATATCTGGAATTATGAAGTTGCAAATTAAAGAGTCAATTCTATTTGTGGGGCATATGCCTGTCCAATCCTTGAGCTTTTGTAGCACCACTTCTTCTCTTGGGAATTGTATTAAAAGAACTGCCTGGTTAAAGGGCTGAAGCCAAAAATGACTGATTGATTCTGAAATCCCAGTTGCTGTAATAGTCCAAAAGCAGGCAACTCAAATACCATCCCTCCTCCCATGGATCAGGTGGAACTGAATTTGAATGGCAGATTGGCCTGGAAAAAAAAAAGACATATACATAGTTTTGGTGTAAAGTGTGATACTTCATCATTCATGGATCTCGAGAAGGGTAGAGTGATTAATTGACCCAAATTTGGTAAATAATAAATCCTGACTAGCATTGTAAGGGTTGTATGATGACTTGAAACTCCCATAACCAACCTGTCTTATGGAAGTCATTTGATTATTGGCACCATAAAAAAAATCTGAATCAACACCATTTATCTGTATGAGTTCATAAATACATTTGTTTTTTTTTTCTTTCAGGATATGGCAGTACAGTTTGAGAAAGGTCAAGTTGGTAAACCATTAGAAGTTTCATACATTGTGGAGAAACTTCTGAAGCAGCCCAAGCCTGACAGAAAAACAGAAAAACAAGAAGAATCAACATTAAAACCAAATTTAGATTATGAATCAATAACAGCCATGAATCAGCGGAGACAAGATGAACGGAGAAAGCTAATTGAACAAATTATGAAAGAAGAAGGGATGACGAAGTGATCATATATAATAGTCATTGAAACAGACCAGTGAAATTTTGTCCCCTCAGAATTTTTTTTGTTTGTACGATTAATTAGAAAATTCTTGTCTTTGTGAATGAGTCCTTTCATAGTTAAATTTGAAATACAAGTGTTTATATCTTTCCTTATCCTTATTTTTATCACTTCATATTTGGGAGAGAAACAACATACTGGCATGGGAAAATTATGGACCCTGATAAAGTAAAATGTGATAATATATGTGTGTGTGTTCTTGGTGGGAACAGTTTCTACAGATCAGACTCCTGGGCACACTCAGAAATACTACAGGAGGGCAAAAAATTGGAATACAAGCAACTTAACCTAAAGTATTTGATAGTAAGTATTGTAGCAAAGGATGTGGATTTGTAATGCATGGCATTTTGAAATTTTTAACTGTAATAAGAGTACTCAGCCACTTGTGATTTTTAAAGTACTTTACTGTACTGTAGTACAGTACTATACAGGATTTAATTTTATTTAATTTTTAAAATGAATAAACTTTTACTTGTACAGGGTATATTATTTGTATCAGTTTTAACATATAATTTCCATTTTTGGTTGTGACACCAGATATTTTACCCCATCAATCAGTGGCATTACAGATATATGATTACCAAGATGAAAATGAGCATAAAAATAATTGTGGACTAATAAAAGTGGCTGGTCCATGCCCAATCACTGTATTTAGCAATATGAGTGCATGCCAAGGTCATCAAAATATTTCTGCATGAATTCTGATTCTTCATGTTTAAGTTAACTGTGTAATAGGGGCTCCTTTTGGAATAGTGATATCCATGTTAGCCAACTTTCTCAAACCTGGAAAGATCCTTATCCCGGAATGTTTTCTGGTTACTAGGAAAAGTTTCTGAGAGTCAGAATTATGCATCTTGCACAGACAAATGCTAGCTTACATCCCCAGAATGTTTTTGGGTAATGGGAAATTTTTTTTGAGTCTAAACTACCAGTCTGTAAAAGCAGTTTTCATTTTGTTAGAAACTGCATTTCTTTACTAGAATGATCCTGAATAGTTTATCTAAAATATTGGTTAAATAAATATATTTAAAAAACTTAAAATCTATATGATATGGGCATACAAGGTGCCTTGTGAAAGAAGAAGCTGCATGCTACAGCAAAGACTGGTATTTTCCAATCATATGGAGGTGTGGGGCAGGTTAGTGGGTTTCGTGTAATTGACCTGACCTAATGCAATGTCAGGTGGAGGTAGGGTGGGGGATTAGTGGGTCTCATGATCTAAAGATATCGTGAATAAAGATGAATGCTAAGATATTTTTGAGGTGCGAGGTTGCTAGTAAAAAAGTTTATAAACTTTTACAGGGTATTTGCAATATCTGCTCTACTGTGTTTGTGTTAGAGAAATGCTGGTATGGAGATGCATTCCTGAGGATGTTATTTTTTACCTAGGAGATATAGTGTATACGGTATTTTAAGGGTACAGTTATTAATAAACACAGATTATTACATTAATGTATCTACTAATTAATGAATAATAAATAATGTACCGTACAATATTGTATCATGAATGAGTCATAGAAGAATGAGTGAGAGGCAGTGAGACACAGTGGGTGGGAGGGAGGGACGTGACCCATGATACCCTTGCGGGGAAAGGCAAATCTAACCGCGTGGTCAGTTTCCCTTTCCCCTCCTCCTGCAAGGGTTATGCCATCATTCTCCTGCTCTAATTGTGTTAGAGAGATGAATTTAATACCATAATGATCCTTAATGAATTCTCTATGAGACACTGCCAATAAGAGCTCCTTAAACAAAATATTTCAACACGACATAATGATGGGGACTCCATTCTTTTAAAAAAAAATGTAAGAAATGTTTATACTGGAGTCAATAAAATTAGTTCTAATTAAGTTAGACACACCATTTTTTTTTACCCAAATAATATTGAATGGCTTATCTAAAAGTTTGGTTCAATAAATATACAGTATTTAACCTTTAAGCCCTGGGTTAGGGTGCTGCTGGCAGTACCCCACCCCCCCCTCCCCTGCGGGGATAAATCGAGAAAAACAATCGACTTTTCAAAAAATAATTAAGGAAAAAAACAAAATGGCGGGATAATAGGCGGACGTTCTGGAACGTCACCCGGGGTGCGCTAGTTTGATGTTCTGGAACTTCACCCGGTGCCTAAGGGTTGAAAAGGCAAAAGTCTATAGATATGGACAGGAATGGAGCTCTATTTATGCAAACACCACTCTACACACAATATATGGAACTGTACTCACCAGCAGATGCTGTTGTCTTGAACCTAGAGTAGGCAGCCATTGTCCACTCCGTTGAATGTTATACGTAACTGTAATCACGTCTTAACACTTGCGATGGAGGTGTGGTGAGCGATTAATAGTCATGTTACTGACCTGACCCGATACAATGTCAAGTCACCCATTGTCAGGGTGGGGGATTAGTGGGTTTCATGACCTGAAGATGCCTTGATAAAAATGAAAGCCAAGTAGTAGACTTGGTAAGGGCTAAAAAAGGGTGATCACTACATTTCTTAGTGCAAAGGTCCCACTTGGCAAAATTGTTCCTTGGGACAAGAGGAAAAAATTTATCTGAAGAGACTTTGCTATGGATAGAAAGAAACCACTAATTAGCATAAATTAGGCTAATTAGTACCTAAAAGAATGTAATGTCTAACCTTTAAACCATTTCACCTAGATACATGATTAGTTGAACCTGGCTAATTTTAGGGTCAGGAATCCATTTTGGGGGTTATTTTGACAATTGACAGCCATTTTGACCCTCAAATCAAAGATGGCCACTGGCCGCCATCTTGAATGTAGGCATACTTTACAACTTTTGAACCATTTGAGCTACAAACTTGTGATATATAAATTTCTACTAATTTGGGGTTGAGACTCATTTCTGGTATTACTTTTGTGATAGGTTATTTAAAGGATATTTAGAGGTGAATTCCAAGATAGCTTTTATTGGCTATATCAAAAAAGCAGTGTGCATCTAACTTATCTTGGAGTACATCTTAACATTTGAATTCATTGAGGACAAACTTTATAATGCATAACTTTTTTAGCTATTTTCAGGTTACATTATTGATTACAATGAGAGATAGTTGATTCAAAATGACCAGTATGGATGCACGTGACTGGAAGTTATGTTTTATATGTCAGGCAGATACAAATGAAGCAGTTACAGATCCTGCATCATCTATAAAATTACCTGGCCAACCCCAGAAACTAGAAGTAGATTACCAAGAACTTCTGGACAATATCTCAGATCTCTATGAGTTAGGTGAGTTACCCAGCTTCGTAGTATTTGATGACATTGGTGGTGGGGGTGGTGGTGCAAGCAGTATAGTAGAACTTATGAAAACTAACCATGCAGTGTGGCAGAATATGAAATAAGCAATCAAAGCAGCTAGGCCACCCATGCACCCAGAACAGACAGATTTGGAGAGAGTTTCCAGTATTTTTCTCAGAATTTTCCAGAAAATGTGCCTGATTTTCAACCTTGGAAATAATTCCCAAACCCGGAATTGAGAGAAATTTTCCATAAAAATTCTGAGCAAATTTCAATTCCAGCTATTAGAGAGTTCCAGGGTGCTAAAAGGGATTCCTGCTTATGGAGATATAACTACTGCATATTCATTGTATCCATTGAATCTAAGACTATACAGTACATATATTATGATGATATATTTTTATAAATGTCTTTTGGGGGGTTCTAATGAGGTACAGTATTATCATCCCACCTACCAGTTGTTACTAGTACTATATTATAGTCCTTTGTATTTAATATCTATGTATTCCACTTTCTTTATAAGAATAATGTTGGGTGCTGTCCATTTTCCATCATTGGTTTGGTAAAAGAGTATTTAGTGGCAGGGATTGTCTTAAACACAACTGTGGGTTATATATATATATATATATATATATATATATATATATATATATATATATATATATATATATATATATATATATATATATATATATATTAATACACATATATATATATATATATATATATATATATATATATATATATATATATATATATATATATATATATATATATATATATATATATATATATATATATATATATATATATATATATATATATATATATATATATATATATATATATATATATATATATATATATATATATATATATATATATACATACACATACACATACACACATACATACAGGTTGACAATCTCATCCCAAAATCCTTGGGACCAGAGGCATTTCGATTTTGGAAACTTTTCGGTTTCAGAATGAATGTTTTTTTTTATTAACCCATCCGCACAAGTCACCTGACCCACATTGGGTCCTGGGGCGCCAAAAAATATTATAATAATAATAATAATAATAATAATAATAATAATAGTAATGATAATAATATTAATAGTACAGGAAATAATAATAATTCATAGGTTCACTGTAGGTCTGTTACTCACTTCTATCTTTTTTTCATTCTTGTATTTCTATTATTATTTTTTATTATTATTATTATTATTATTATTATTATTATTATTATTATTATTATTATTATTATTATTATTATAATTATTATTATTATTATTTTATTAATACAATATTATTGTTATCATTATTATTTTATTTTGGTGTATTATTTAATTAAAATTTTATTTACTATGAACAATTACAGGTACAGTCAACCTCACTTTACGAGGTCCCACATTCCGCGTTTCCACCGCTTACGTGCCCTGCCAGAATCCATGATGCTCACATTCCGCTGCGCGCATTGTACCCCTTTACGCTGAGAGCGTGCTGGCGAGCCGCCATTTTGGATCCAAACCTCCTGCCATCCGGCCATGCTGTGTAAGCTGGCGCGAACATAGTGCATAAGGACGCCCAGTCATCAAAACATTACCAGTTCTTTTCACCCTCACACCCACCACAGCCGCCCAAGTCAGTGATAGTGATAATTATGGTGAGGATATGGACTTATATGGACTTTGGGAGGTTTGACAAAGAGGCCCTGCAAGCCTCTGTGGTGATAGTGATACAATTGATACAAGTGATACAGGTGAGGGCCATAATCTGCCCTCTGCCTCGAACCAACCGCCCATCCCCGTGCCCAGCCATCTTTCT